GCCTTGTAAAAAGCCAAAATATTTTCTTATCTGACAAAGCATGTTTTTTTGTTTGTTTTTTTACATTCTTTATTTTGCAAGTGCAGTGAAACATACATAAATTGTCAGACATCTGGTGCAAAACAAATGAATACAGGCTTAGAGTTAGAGCACATAATGTCAAGAGAAACTGCACAATTTCTAAACATATAATAATAGTAAGCATGTCGAATATGCTGCACTTTTTATAACAGTAGGTTAATATGCTAGAGAATTATGTCTGTATGCAGGAGGGAGTGTGTGCATTGGCCTAGGAAGATGGATCTTCTATGAGACGAGGGGTGCTCACCCAGTATGGAGTGTCAAAAGTGTTGTTTGGCAACCAGCTGGTCCGATAAATTAGAGTTCTAGAAGTTAAAGAAGTTCTTGAAGAGACGATGTTTTGTTTTCTTATTAGCTCATGATTTTGAACTCATACTTGCATATAATGGTTAACTTTAAGTGTTAATTTAGTACAGTGACTTGATCAATTAGTGGTTAGAATATTATCCTAATTAAGCACGAGTTGATCAGCATAATTAGCTTACATATTGAAATTCACTAAATTCTTGCTCACTGACCACATTTAAAACCAACTGCTTGCTAGCACTGATTGTGGGACCACACCAACTTCCAGTCGATGTCAGTTGAGAGCCGAGCAAATCGAGTACAGAGAGCCATCAACGCTCCTGGCCTAATCACTGTCACAGCCCTGCCTCACTGCGGCCTTGGCAAAAGGGCTGGATGCCTGCTGCAATGCATTGATGGGTGGTCGAAGCCTCTGTGTACAGAACTGTTCTACCGAAACTTGGGGCATTTTGTGCCGCAGCCCTGCTCCCCCACCCGTTGGTGGGGGTTATACTGGCCGATAAGTATAAGTGTCAACTTACCCAATTCAGTGCATTGCCTCCAACTGCTTTCTTGACCTTAGGGCCGCTGGCCCGAGGTTGGCTCTTCCTGGCTGCCTACCAATTGGAATATTGGTGCTTAGATCTCTGGGTTATCTGGGATATACCCCCGTTCTGAGGGTGTGGCTGGTGTTGGGAGAGACATGTGGAAGCACCAATTTAACTGGAGCTTTTTTTGGAACAGAGGAGGTGCAGGAGGCGGTTGGTCTGCAGTCTCGCCCTAAAGATAATCCTATTATAACTTTTGAAATCCCTTTGTTCATATGCTGCGGTGGTTCCTTTGTTGGGGAGGGGGATGTTTTTTTGGTTTTTTTAAATTCTTTATTTTAGTTAGTGCATAGCATAACATACAGACGTGAGTTGACATTTGGCATGGTTGACAAGGGGGGTGCCATGTCCCAGTCCGGCATTAGGATGTGTGAGCTGCGCAGCCACACACGCAGGGACCATAGAACTTTAAAACCAGCCAGCCGCACGTAAGAAAAGTGGGGGCGTAGCTAATCAGCATTGGGGCAGAGCCAAACACACAGTGGGGTGAGCTAAACACTGCCTCCACCCGCTGCTGTTACTGCTGCACATCGAGGGGAAGCAAGAAGGAGTCCCTGCTTCCCCAACTAATAGATTTCAAGAGCTTCAAAGGATCACTCCTCCAGCCCATACTGTCTGTAAGAGAGAAAGAGAGTGTGTGTTTGTGTGTGTGTGTGTGCGCCTGTGACTCTGTGTGTGTGTGTTGACTGTCTGCCTGTGACTCTGTGTGTGTGTGTGAGACTGCCTGCCTGTAACTGTGCATGTAACTGTGTGTGACTGTCTGCCTGTGACTCTGTGTGTGTGTGTGTGTGTGTGAGACTGCCTGCCTGTAACTGTGCATGTAACTGTGTGTGACTGTCTGCCTGTAACTGTGTGCATGACTGTGTGTATGCGTGACTGTCTGCCTGTAACCTGTGTGTGTAAGTGTGACTGTCTGCCTGTAACTGTGCGTGTGTCTGTATAACTGTCTGCCTGTACTGTGTTTGTGTGTGTGTGTGAGACTGCCTGCCTGTGACTGTGTGTGTGTGTGTGAGACTTTCTGTGTGACTGTCTTCCTGTGAGTATGTATGTGACTGTCTGCCTGTGATTGTGTGTGTGTGTACCTGCCTGCCTGTAACTGTGTGCATGACTGTCTGCCTGTAACTGTGTGTGTCTGAGACTGTTTGCCTGTGACTGGATGCGTGTGACAGTGTGCCTGTGACTGTGTGTGACTGTCTGCATGTGAATATGTGTGTGTGACAGTGTGCCTGTGATTGGGGGATGCTGTCTGTAACTGTGTGTGACTTTCTGCATTTGACTGTCTGCGTTTATGTGTGTGTATGACTGCTTGTGACTACGTGCATGTGACTGCCTGTAATTGTATGTGTGACTGCCTGTAACTGTTTGTGTAACTGTCTGCCTGTAACTGTGTGTGTGACTGTGTGCGAGTGACTATGTGCCTGGGACTGGACTCTGAAGGCTGTTGCTAATGTAGTTGTGTAAAAAAAATGAATTCTATTGTAAGGGGCTGTGCAAGGGCTTTAGAGGGAGAGGCAGGTTTTTTTGGGAAGGGGGGTGCAGGGGTTTGTAGAAGGGGGACAGGTGTATAAGGGGGCTGAGCAGGGAATTTGTGGAAGGGGGTGCAGGGGTTTTGTGTAAGGGGGCAGGACATGTGTTTTGTAGAACGGCGTGCAGGAGAGAGATTTTGTAGAACGGGGGCAGGACAGGGGTTTTCAAAATTTACACCTTTGTGCAATTTTTAAAAATGGAAACATTAAAAAAATATTACTATCTCCCCACCGGCCCACAGGCACTAGGATGCGGCTGGGGAGGGAGGAAGAGAGGACCTGGGGGAGCCACCGTGTTTCTCTCGCGTGTTCGGAGCGTTGCTGCAGTTACTATAGCAACGCTCCAATCTCGCGACAGTGAACTCTACCCCAGGAACTGCAGGGTAGAGTTCACTCCTCACCGGATCACCAGGGATTTCCTACCGGACCACCAGGGCTGGCAACAAGCTCCTCCCTCCTAGGCAAAGGTAAGAAGGGAGGGGGACATAAACTAAATATATTTTTAAATAGGAATCCCTGACCAAACAAGATAATGATGAGATATTAATATGTCTAAAACTTTTATTGTTATGCAGGGACGTACCTGGAGTATTTGGCACCCAGGGCGGATCCTTGATTTGGCACCCTCCCTCCCAACTTTGAAATGTAAAAAACAACTACAATTTTTTTAAATGTATTTGACACTGAACACCGAACCAAACACAGACACACAAACAGATACACATACAGATACACAGACATACAGATACACATGTATAAGTGTGTGTGTTTGCGTAGTGAATGCAGTGTGTTTGCGTAGTGAATGCAGTGTGTTTGCGTAGTTGATGCAGCTTGTATGTATAGTGTATGCAGTGTATGTATAGTGTATGAAGGGTGCAGTGTGTATGCAGTGTTTGTATAGTGTATGAAGTGTGCAGTGTGTATAGTGTATGCAGTGTGTGTATAGTGTATGAAGTGTGCAGTGTGTATAGTGTATGCAGTGTGCAGTGTGTATGCAGTGTGTGTATAGTATATGAAGTGTGCAGTGTGTGTATAGTGTGTGCAGTGTGTATGCAGGGCCGGATTAACATAGGGGCTGATGGAGCTGCAGCTCCAGGCCCAGGCCCATGGACTAGGCCCATTTAAAAAAAAAAAAAAAAACACACACACTACTCTTAGGTTTGCCACCTGACTGGTATTTTACTGGCACAGCCGGTATTTGAGTCTGCCTGGCCGTGCCGGTATTGCAGTAATACTGGCAATACAAATGCAGATATTTTTTCTCAGAATAAATGGAGATTACTCTACAATACCAGCACCAGCCAGTAGGGGTCACTGTGTGTGGAGAGAGGCAGGGATAGGAAGTTACAGCATATCCCTGCCTCTCTCTGCTACTCACTGATCTGTGGGGGAGCAGCAACACAGCACAGAGTCCAGACAGCAGCTCTACAACTCAGGTAAGTGAGGGATGGGGACACATGGGGACACTGAGACACTAGGGGACACATGTGGACACTGAGACACTAGGGGACATATGGGGACACTGAGACACTAGGGGACACAGACTCTAGGGGGCACATGGGGACACAGAAACTGGGAGACCTGGAAACACTGAGACACGTGGGGACACTGGAAAACATGGAGACACTGAGACACTAGGGGACACTGAGACACTAGGGGACACTGGGACACTAGGGGACACTGGGACACATGGGGATGCTGAGACACATGGGGATGCTGTGAGACATTGGGAGACACTGAGACATTGGGACACGGAGACACTCCCCATTTCTCCCAGTGTCCCCATGTCCCCCATCCAGTGTCGCTAATGTCTCAGTGTCCCTAAGTCTCCCAGTGTCTGTGTCCCATGTCTCTCAGTGTGCCTAGTGTCCCCATGTGTCCCTATATGTCCCAGTGTACCCATGTCTATGTCCACAACTGTCCCCAAGTCTCCCAGAATCCCCATGTCTCAGTGTCCCCAAATGTCTCCCAGTGTCTGTGTTCCTAGTGTCTCAGTGTGCCTAGTGTCCCCATGTCTCCCAGTGTCCCTATATGTCCCAGTGTCCCCATGTCTATGCCCACAACTGTCCCCATGTCTCCCAGTGTCCCCAAGTGTCTGTCTTCCAGCCAGTGTCCCCATGTCTCCCAGTGTCCCCTAGTCTCCCAGTGTCTGTGTTCCCATGTCTCTGTGCCCCCTCAGGTGTCTTAGTGTCCCCAAATGTTTCAGTGTCCCCATGTCTCCCAGTGTCTGTGTCCCTAGTGTCTGTGTCCCCATTTATCCCAGTTTCCCTAAATGTCTGTGTCCCCATGTCTCTTAGTGTCCCCATGTCTCTCAGTGTCCCCATGTCTTTCAGTGTCCCCAGTATCCTGGTGACATGGGGACACACTGAGACATTGGGGCACTGGGAGAAATGGGGACACAGACACTGGGAGACTAGGGGACTGGGCGACATGGGGACACTGACACTGTGATACATAGGGACACTGAGACACTGGGTGACTTGCAAGACTGAGACACTGGGAGCAATCCATCTATACAGCAGAATCAAACTGTGAGTAGTTTGTTGGTGATTTTACAGAATTTTCTCTGATGTCACTCCTTGTGATTATACAAATGATTAAGGCTGGTATTTTTTTTCCAAGAAAGGTGGCAACCCTAACTACTCTTCACATACTCTTGCTTAAAGGAGCACTATAGGGCCAGGAACACAATCATGTATTTCAGACTCTATTATGTTAAAACCAACACCCTGGCCCCCTCTTGCCTCCCTAAGTATAGTAAAATATAACAAGTCTGCAGCTGCTGGCTCTGCCTCTGAATTGGCTGTCTGCTGACATCATCAGAAGTGGTGGTCTGAGCAAATTACAATACTTCCCCATAAGATTGGCTGAGACTGTCAACTAGGCAGATCGGGGCAGAGCCAGCACAACTCCAACATAGCCCTGGCCAGTCAGCATCTCCTCATAAAGATAAATGGAATCAATGTATCTCTATGAGGAAAGTTCAGTGTCTGCATGCAGAGGGTGGAGACACTGAATGGCAGTGCTGCATACTAGGTAGTACTGCCCCAGGAAGCACCTCTAGCAGCCATCTAAGGAGTGGCCAGTGGAGTTATTGTCTCTGAAAAGACAGCGTTTACTGCAAAAGGCCTGAATGGAATGATTCTACTTACCAGAACAAATGCAATAAGCTGTAGGTGTTCTGGTGACTATAGTGCCCCTTTAAGTTTGGAAGCTTAAGAGGGATGTATGGGAACAAAACTTGTGTGGACTAGCTGACAATAAAATTAGTTTAGGTAATGCAGACGCTGGTCTCTCTAACACTGTGGCATGTCCCCTTTCTTCTACACTCACTACATACACCTTTTCTCTGTCTCAGATTATATACCAGGAACTTCGAGGAGACAAGAGGACCAGCGAGTGCTAGGGGACAGTCCTTAGAAAGCACGGAGTGAGCGCATCATTAGATGCATTTATGTCAAGCTCCGGGTGCTGTCTGCATAGTATGCCCTTAGTTGGACAGCCTGCAGGATTGGCGGCAGCCTGACATGCATTCATGCCAGGCTGTCCTTCAAATTCTTTAGACAGACATGCCCCCTTTTTGGGCATGTTCTCCCCTTTTGGCAGGTCTGGTCACGTGATTCACACCAGTGGCCCACCCTTTTACCCCACCCATTGACTTCCTGCTTCACTGGACACTACTGTTAGGGGTTATAGATTTACTTCAAAGCATAAATTAGAGAGAGATTAGCATAGAGTATGTGTTTTCCTATAGCTGCATCCTATGAGTTTCCCTCCAGCACCATCTCCATCAGATACATGATGCTTGGGAGGTATGACTGTTTTAGTGTTTTTGGTCGATAAGATTCCGTAATTAGGCCCATCATATTTGTCAGCACCAGGCCCAATGTGCTCTTAATCTGGCCCTGTGTGTATGAAGTGTGTGTATAGTGTATGAAGTGTGCAGTGTGTGTATAGTGTATGCAGTGTGTGTATAGTGTATGAAGTGTGCAGTCTGCAGGGCCAGACTGGCCCACTGGGATACCGGGAAATTTCCCGGTGGGCCGTCGGCACCTGGGGCCGGGCAGGCAGCTGGCTCACCTGCGGCCGCAGAGAGAGCTCTTCTGGCGGCCGCAGGGGGAGCTGGCTGTTCTGTCTCTGCTCCCCCTCCCCAGCGCACTACAAAGAGACCAGGGCGGGAATATGACGTAGCCTTACATATTACACGCGACAATATGTGGCGCAATGACTTATGGGGCTGGCATAGATTTTTTTTCCAGGGCTGCTTTGGAATCCCCAGTCCAGCCCTGGCAGTGTGTGTATAGTGTATGAAATGTGCAGTGTGTATATAGTGTATGCAGTGTGTATAGTGTATGAAGTGTGCAGGGAGTGTGCAGTGTGTATGCAGTGTGTGTATAGTGTATGAAGTGTGCAGTGTGTGTATAGTGTATGCAGTGTGTGTATAGTGTATGAAGTGTGCAGTGTGTGTATAGTGTATGCAGTGTGTGTGTATAGTGTATGAAGTGTGCAGTGTGTGTATAGTGTATGAAGTGTGCAGTGTGTGTGCAGTGTGTATGCCGTGTGTGTGTATAGTGTATGAAGTGTGCAGTGTGTATGCAGTGTGTATAGTGTATGCAGTGTGCACTGTGTATGCAGTGTGTGTATAGTGTATAAAGTGTGCAGTGTGTATGCAGTGTGTGTATAGTGTATGAAGTGTGCAGTGTGTGTATAGTGCATGAAGTGTGCAGTGTGTGTATAGTGTATACAGTGTGCAGTGTGTGTGCAGTGTGTGTATAGTGTATGAAGTGTGCAGTGTGTGTATAGTGTATGCAGTGTGTATAGTGTATGAAGTGTGCTGTGTGTGTGTATAGTGTATGCAGTGTGTGTATAGTGTATGAAGTGTGCAGTGTGTGTGTATAGTGTATGAAGTGGGCAGTGTGTGTATAGTGTGTGCAGTGTGTATGCAGTGTGTGTATAGTGTATGAAGTGTTCAGTGTGTGTATAGTGTATGCAGTGTGTGTGTATAGTGCATGAAGTGTGCAGTGTGTGTATAGTGTATGCAGTGTGTATAGTGTATGCAGTGTGTGTATAGTGTATGCACTGTGTGTATAGTGTATGCAGTGTGTGTGACGAGAGCAATCTCGCCACATTGCATTGGAGAAGCCTGGTTGCTCGCCTGCTGCCTTTGGACTATGGCCCCATGTTAAAAGACATCTTTTTTCCCTGCAGAAAAGACTTATTCGTGATTTTCTGCCTGGTGTTCGGTAGATTCAATCTACCGAACAACCGCACGAATGACCGGACCACCTGGGAGCTGGAGTGTGCCGGCAATTAGCCTCCCTGAAGCTACGGTTAACCGCAGCTTAAATGACGAATGCTGGGTGGCCGCCATTCGTATAACGAACACGAGGTCGCGGCCATTTTAAACATACGAACGCACAGCGGTGTTCGACGCTTAATTCATGGAACTAAAACCGGACACAGTTTTGCACGAACACCGCTGAAGCCGCCGACCTCCCTTCCTGTTCAGTGAAAGTGCACGAACGGCCCGGTGTTCAGTAGTTTTACTTGACTATGTTATACCCCAGATAGGAATCCCATGGAGCCCATTCGAATGAAACTGACTGTGTAAAGACTTTGGCTCCATGGCGATTAAACTGTATTCGTGTGGTCTGAGCGCCATTCGCTTAATAATGTGCGCTCAGACCTGGGCTATCTGGGGACATGTTAAAGGTATGCTTTTAATGTTATGTGTCTCACATAGTGCATTTTAATAGTAATTCCTGTGTTAATATCCCCAAGTGCATAATGGCGATTTGCCTTTGTCTTAGGAGATAATTGAATTACTTCTCAGTTATCTCCAAGGCAGAGGGGAGGAAGCCAGGATGCATTGTGGGAATATAATGTGACTGTGTGTCCTATTTTGCTGATTGTCTGTCTTTTGTCACAGTCTCCCATTTGGTCCCCTATGGGAGTGTCCACCAGGTGGGAGACCTGCATAAATACTGGGCAGGTAGCCCTCATTAAACAGACCACTGCTTGACCCTCAACACGGACCTCTGTCTCGTCTTTGGGGGGATTTACTGAACGCTGATAGAGACTGATTGCTAGGAGTGTAAGCCGCTTGGATGCTTTTCCTATTCGTCTGCTAGCAGCGATTCGTATGGTTCCAGTTCGTGTGTTTGGAGTGCTATATTGTACGCCGTTCAGGAGTTTGGAGCATTCCCTTATTGGCGGTTCGGGAGTTTAGTGTTCTACAGTAGCTGTGCCTGCATCTCTGGAAAGGGGACGATCGCCTAAACGGTTTTAACCCCTTGTGTGCAAAACGGTCCGTTACAGTGTGTTTATAGTGTGTGTATAGTGTGTGCAGTGTGTGTATAGTGTATGCAGATGCAGTGTGTATGTTGTGTGGAATAAGTGCTGCCACTTACCTGCCTGTCCCATCCTCCTCTACTGGTGTTCTGGTGGCACAGCATAGATGGTCAGTGAAGAATGCTTGTTTCCTATCCAGCAGCAGCAGGGTCATCTGTTCTTGCAGATCGCCTACTGCTGCTGGATTGGAAATCGAGTGGATAATTTCATAAGCGGCTGGTCCCTTTACATAAGACACAGGGGCGGAGAAATGCCGCCCCTGTGAAAGTTTGCCCCGGACACCCCACTAGTGAGTGGTACCCGGGGCGGACCGCCCCCACCGCCCCCCCCCCCTTAGTACGCCACTGTTGTTATGTTGTTAAAAAGGGGGGTAGGAGGGCAAGTATATCAATAATTAGTATAAATCATGATCGATTGATCTATACTTTCTTCTTTTCTTGTCACACTAGGTATATATTTTAAAGATACCTATTGTGTCCATGATTTATACTAATTGTTGATATACAACCCCTTCCCACACAACCTTTTTAACAACATAACAATAAAAGCTTTAGACATATTAATATCTAATCATTATGTTTTTTGGTCAGGGAGTCCTCTTTAAATTTACTTTAATATTTCTGGGTTCATGCCCCTATTTAGTTCTTTGACCACTTCAGACCTAAACTCCCACCCTTTCTAATTCTAAATATATTTTTAATCACGATAATTAAAAAATAAAATATACACATATACAAATGTTTTATTTTTAAACAAAACTGCACCCCCCACACACACTACACCCCAAACACCACACTGCACCCCCCACACACTACACCCCAAACACCACACTGCACTGCAAACACCACATTGCACACCTCACACACACACACTGCTCCCCAAACACCACACAGCTCACCTCACACACACACACTGCACCCCAAACACCACACGGCACCCCAAACACACAATGCATCCTTCACACACACACAACACACCAAAAACCACACAGTGCACCCTTCACAAACACACACTGCACCACTAACGCACACTGCACCCCAAACACCACCCCAAACACACAGTGCACCCTTCACACACACTGCACCCCTCACACACTGCACTCTTCACACACACACACTGCACACCCTGCACCCCTCACACACCCTGCATCCCTCACAAATAGGGAACCCTTCACACACACAGTGCATCCTTTACACACACTGCACCCCTACACACAATACATTCCAGGTACATTCACTACATTCCTTATACACACACCCTAGATCCCATACATAACTATGGATCCTCTACATACACGCATTAGAATCCCAATGCACACTCTGAATCCTCTACACACACACACACACACACACAATATATATCCTACACACACTCTGGGTCCTCCACACATACTAGATCCCCTACGCACACAATAGATCCCCTATAGGAATACACTGCACCACCAACACACAGTACATTAATGACATACATACTCTGGATCCCCTATGAACACACTAGATCCCCTGTAAGCAAACACAAACTACTTTCCCTAAGCACACACACTTTACAACCCCTACACACACTACATCATCTATACACACATACACTACAGCCCCTATGCACACACTCGCTACATCCCCATACACTCACACTCTCTCTCTCTCTCTCTACAGCCCCTTGCCATACATATTACACCACAAACACAACACAACTGAAACCAACAATTACACAAAACACCACAATCAACTCGCTCTACACACAAGCAGGCTCTAAACACATGTACAATAAGCTTTCCTTACACTTTTGTCCTTTGGTATCCCATTTATGGAGACACCAGAGACACGTCAGAAGCAAACACAGCGCAAGCATGTTACTCATTTTGCTTGAACTGCGTAGAACAATAACAGGTCCTTTTTTTTCATGCGAGAGCTCTTCAGCAGGGCTCTACGCATCGAACCAACATGCTAACTTTAAGAGGAGGCGTTCTTGTCATTGATGATGACAAAACACCCCCCTCTCGGCCCGCCCCTTTCTCAGTGGGCTGCTGTGATTCATGAATGCCTGGGCTAAATATTCTAACTCGTGCAGCATTGTTAGTAGAGGAGTTAACTATTCATACAACTCTATACATGCCTCGTATGAGCGCTTGTCCATCAACTGGCTAACCTATGGGATTTTTTGTGTGTTTTTTTTTCCTCTGATTTAATTCTGTACTTATCACAATGTGCCTTAGTTTTGGTTTTCTTCGTGTGTGTCACAAATGCAGTCTACTTCATTGCTGGTTAAGTTTGTTATAGGCATTGTACTATACTGTGAAAAGCTCATTGACACTGTTATATTGCTGTGAAATGCTATAAATCACTATGACCCCCACATTAATAAAAGGGGCATGTTGCCTAAACAGCGAAAAGAAATTAAGAATTTGTTTTATTTATTTAGCTCTGCGTGGTATTATAACTGTGAATGTCACAATACTGTTAGCTGTTACTGCAATAAAGTACACGTATTTGTATTCAGCGATGTCTCACGGGTAAAACAGTACCCCCAATGTACAGGTTTTATGGTGTTTTGGAAAGTTACAGGGTCAAATATAGCACATTACATTTTTCAGTTTATACACATTGAAATTTGCCAGACAGGTTATGTTGCCTTTGAGACCAAATGGTAGCCCAGGAATGAAAATTACCCCACAATGGCATACCATTTGCAAATGTAGACAACCCAAGGTATTACAAATGGGGTATGTCCAGTCTTTTTTAGTAGCCACTTACTCACAAACACTGGCCAAAGTTAGCGTTCATATTTGTTGTGTGTGAAAAATGCAAAAAACTAAATTGAACGCTAATTTTGGCCAATGTTTGTGACTAAGTGGCTACTAGAATAGACTGGACATACCCCATTTGCAATACCTTGGGTTGTCTACTATTGCAAATGGTATGCCATCATGGGGGTAATTCTCATTCCTGGGCTACCATACGGTCTCAAAGGCAACATAACCAATCTGGCAAATTTCAATGTGAAAAAGGAAATTCAAGTCTTTAATTTGACTCGGGAGACTTCGCTGAACACAAATATTAGTGTTTCAAAATAGTAAAATGTATCACAACAATTATATCGTCAGTGAAAGTACAGTTTGTGTGTGAAAAATGCAGAAAATTGCATTTTTACTGACGATATCATTGTTGTGGTATGTTTTACTGTTTTTAAACATTTGTGTTCAGCAAAGTCCCCAAAAAACAGTATCCTCCATGTACAGGTTTTAAAGTGTCCTGGAAAGTTATGCGAGCCAAATTCTCTGGACATTCTGCCTGGGTTTATCGGGCAGGTCCCTCAGATTATAATTAATAAAATGACTTAATTATATAAAAATATTATATAAATATATTTGTAGAATTTAAATATATATATATATATATATATGTATGATCTAAGTACTTTTTATTTAATTTAAAAACTGTTTAATAGCTTTTACTAACTTTTAACTGTCTGATAGTTCAGGCAGGCTCCCTGCAGGCACTGCATAAGCCGGCTATTCCAGCCATGTAATCACGAGGACCCCATGATCACATGGACGGGGGGGCTGGATCGGGCAGAGGGGTCTGCCTGAGCTCCCAGGCAGACCCCAGGATCGCGACTGCCGGCGTGGGATCTGCGGGGACCCAGTAAGTAGTAAAGACTGCAGGGACGTTCTATGCCACCCACCGACGCTTAGGACCGCCCCAAAAAGGACAGCATAGAAAGGATGCCGTCCTCAAGGGGTTAATGCAGCCCTAACCATACCTCCCCTGACTGTGACTCACACAGGCAGCATAAAAAAAAGTTTCATTTTCAATCAGATGTTACTTACTTGAAAAGTTTTTTTTATCTCCTGCTCTGTAAATTGAACTTTAATCACATACAGGAGGCTTCTGCAAAGTCTGGCACGCTATTAACAGAGCAGGAGATAAAAAGCAAAATTAAACAGAATTTGTGTAAACATTAGATCTTACTTTACCAGAAGTGTTTACAAAGTCTGTTACTTACCAGGAGGTGTAGCTAGGGCTGCATTAACACCCACTCCACACACACTGCACCCCCAACACACACTGCACCCACACACTTCTCCTCCATGCACAGTGCACCCCACACACACTGCACCCCCCCCACACACTTCTCCTCCCCCCACACATACTGCACCCCACACACTGAACCCCACACACATACACTGCTCCCACACACACACTTCTCCCCCATACACACGGTGCTCCCCATACAAACACTGCACCCCACACCCTTCCCCCACACAAGCAGCTGCACCCCCACCACTTCTCCCCCACACAAACGCTGCACCCCACACATATCTCCCACACACACACACTGCACCCCCATACACACAGTTCCCCAACTGCACTCCCATACACACACTGCCCCCACTACACCCTCATACACACACTGGGCCCATACTCACACAGTGCTCCCACAGCACCCCACATATACACACTGCACTCCCATGCACACACTACACCCCTCACATAAACACACACTGCCTCCTACACACAGTGCTCCCACTGCACCCCCATACACACACTGTCCCACATGCACTGCCTCCCGCACACACACACACTCTGCACCCCTCACACACTGCCTCCCATACCCACCCTGCATCCCTCACACACTCAGTGCCTCCCATACACACACACACACACACATTACTAGAGGCCCTATCCCCTACTACAGCCCCTATCCTGGCAGACCCCAGGTAAATTGTCAAACTGTTCTTAAACAGTTTGACTATTTACTCTGGGAGGGCCCACGGCACTCCTGGCACTAAAACCACTACAGAGAGCTGTAGTGGTTATTGTGCCTGGATTGTTTCTTTAAATAATCTATGAGTGCCCCTCCCGAGATAAGAATCTGGATCCGCCAGTGCGCGCATGCGCCTTCGGCTCCTGTGATGTCGGACGGGGGAGCTGACGTCGGCAGGGTAGGAGAGGTCACCATCGCCGAGGGAGCCCGGCGCTGGATTAAGGTAAGTGGCTGAAGGGGTTTTAATCCCTTCAGCCCAGCAGGAGGGGGCAATGCACTATTAACCCTATAGTGACAGGAAAACGCTGTGGGTGGACTAAATTCAGAGTCAAAGGCTGCATGCACGTTGTTAATAATTTAGAAAATAACGTTGTATTCACATTGAGCAGCAATATTGACCTGTAGCTAGCTAGCACATTTATTTAGATCCTTTCCTCCCTTGGGTATAAGAGCTATATGAGCTGTAAGAGCAGCGGTGCACATACCGCCGTCGAAGGGTTTGCAGCTGCGACCGGGCCCGCCACTCCAGGGGGCCTGGCTGCCCTGCTGACCCCTGTGACCAGGTATGCGCCGCCATCATTTTCTCGGCCCTGGCACACGCGGCAAACTGCCGAGGCCGCAGTCCAAGGGGTCCATCAGGTGGCCAATGCTGTCAGGGCCACCCGATGGATGTGGATTGTCAGGGGGCCCAGCCAGCGCTGTAATAACATCACAAGCTGGGAGGAAGTGACTGCATGTCACTCCTCCCAGCTGACAATGAGAGCCGTGCGGGAGGAAGCAGAGGGGAACTCTGACTCCCATCCACCTGAGCCACCACTGGACCCCAGGGAAAGTCACCCTCCTGCACCTTAAAGGTAGGAAGCAGGAGGGTGACTTAAACATTGTGTGTGTGTGTGTGTGTGTGTGTCTGTATGTATGTGTGTGCCTGTCTGTCTGTCTGTCTGTATGTGTCTGTCTGTGTGTGTGTCTGCCTGTTTGTATGTATGTCTTTGTATGTATGTGTTTGTGTGTGCCTGTCTGTGTATGTATGTGTGTATGTCTGTGTGTGTCTGCCTGTATGTGTGTGTGCTTGTCTGTCTGTATGTGTCTTCCTGTGTGTATGTGTGCCTGTCTGTTTTTTTAATGTATGTGTCTTTGTATGTATGTGTGTGTGTGTCTGTATGTGTGCCTGTCTGTTTGTATGTATGTGTCTGTGTGCCTGTCTGTGTGTCGGTCTGTATGTATGTGTCTGTGTGTGTCTGTCTGTATGTATATATGTGTGCCTGTCTGTTTGTATGTATGTGTCTATGTGTGTGTATGTGTCTCTATGTATGTGTGTGTGTGTGTTCCGGGGGGGGAATAGGGAGGGGGGGGGGCCACGGATCATTTTCGCACCGGGGCCCCATGGTTTGTGTGTACGCCACTGTGTAAGAGACTCGGACTGGAACTGACCACCGTCCTCTATGGAGTTTAATGCTTGTGCTAATTTAGGGAGAAACACCGACCCACATTTCATGTAATAACTCAAGGAAAACCCATTGGGTCCTGGTGTTCTGCCAGTCTTGGATGCCTCAACAACTCCATCCAACTCTGCCTCTGTGATTGGCACTTCCAAACCCTCAGTAAACTGAGGGTCCCTCACAAAGTGCAAAGATAATAGTGAAAATAGAGCCAAGCATTAAGGTTAAGGCTGCTATATGGTCATGTATAGAGTTGGCACACGGTTGGCACAATCAGACATGGAGGCCCAGCCCCATGCAACAACATCGGCGGGGGAGATCTAATGCGCATGCGCTGCTATGGCCGCGCTCACATTAAGATTTCCCTATAGGACAGCATTATTCAATGCTTTCCTATGGGGATTCCGGTGACGTTGGAGGTCCTCATGCATAGCGTGAGGATGTCCAGCGTCCTTTAGACGACCAAATGTCATCTAAGCACCCAGAAGTCCCTTTAGAGGAGGACCTAACCCTAACAGGTAATTATTGCAGTTTATAAAAACTGCAATAATTACATGCTCAGGGTTAAGGTTGATGGGAGTTTGCACCTAGACCAATGAGCTGAAGTGGTCTGGGTGCCTACAGTGTCCCTTTAAAGGTAAAGTAAAAAAAATAAAAAATGACCTAATGTGAATATTGTGTATGTAAGGATGAGTGTATGAACTATTAATCTGAAGTATAAAGGTCACAAAATGAAAATAGAATACACGCATAAAGGTTGCACAACACACGGGTGAGATAGGTAAACAAGGTAAAGAATAGATATCACTGCAAGAGAAATCAATAATCCTTCTAGTTAGGCTATTTTTTTTGTTTGTTTGTTTGTTCTCACTATGGGGAGCAGATTTCCACTGTAAGTGTATGCTTTAGTTACATTAGCTTGTGGGTAGTTGGCTGCTTATGTAGGCACATTGGTTTGTATCTTTAAGTGCCAAAGTACTTTGGGAGATATTTGGATAGCTATTAGGATAGTCATTATACTACAGGAATGATAGATTTCTCCTGGAGTGCTTCTCTCCTATGGTAAAGTAGGCAGAGCATTAGAGTATCTTGCTGTGCAGAGGTACATAGTCAGGAGCTGCCTTTGTTCACCTTCCTTACATCAGTAGGTCATTTTTACAAGGTTTACAGCCTCTCAGGTAAAATGTCATTGCAACCTGCATATAGCTTTCTTTTTTTTGTTTTCAAAACTTTGTTTTTTGTCCGTTACAGATACTCATCTCTTATTACTATTCATCCAGCCATTAGATCCCTCCACTACCAGAGTAGTGTTATACATTTCTCTGAGCTTTAATTATATGTGAATCAGTGAACGTCTAGTTACCGCTTCATTTTACTATCCCCTATGTAACTTTTTTAGTGTGCTCACAGATGTTATGGGGCTATATTTATGTACAGTACACTCTTTAGTGTAACTGTTTCAATAAAGGTTAAGGGACTCTGTAGGCACCCAGACCACTTTAGCTCATTGAAGTGGTCTGGATCCAAACCACCATCACCCTGAACCCTGAGCATGTAATAATTGCAGTTTTTATAAACTGCAATAATTACCTATTAGGGTTAAGTCCTCATCTAGTGGCTGTCTACCAGACAGCCACTAGAGGGACTTCCAGGTGCTTAGAAGACTTTTTGTCGTCTAAACCAGTGTTCTCCAACCCAGTCCTCATGGATCACCAACAGTCCAGGTTTTGTTGGTATCTCTATTGGAATAAAACAGGGAAATACATAAATCCCGGACTGTTGGTGGTCCATGAGGACTGGGTTGGAGAACACTGGTGTAAATGACGCTGGACATCCTCACGCTAATGCGAGCCTGGATATTGTGTTATTAACTCCTTCAGCGCAGCGGGAGGCTATAGTGCCAGCAAAACAACTTTGTTTTGCTGGCACTATAGTTTCCCTTTAAGTTTTTTGCATCTTCTTTTCTCTCATTACCTTCAGAGTTCAAACTATCTGTTTGTAGGTGTCTGGTTTCTTTAATTTTTGTTAAAGCTTGTGTTATCATTGTGTGTATGCACACCAGGATGATGTGCCAGCTTTGTGGATGAGAACATTGTCTCTGGCGGTAATTGCATCATGGAGACGCCGCCAGTAACTCCTTACCCACCCACAAAATTTGGCAGACCTTTACTTCACACAGATTTTTTATTGTACACATAAATGTATTTTATGGTATTTTACTCCTGGATGGTTTTATTTTGATGCTATAAAAACCAAGGCCAGGTAACTTTTTTTTTTTTTTAAAGAAACTCCTAAGAATGTGTCTTCTCTTCTTTACCAACCACAGCCATTATACTTCTCTGCAGATGATCCAAGATTTCCAGATTTCTTCCTTGTTTCTATATGTAATTCCATGTGAAGAAATTTCCAAAAACAAAACTGAAAGTGCTAGGCTTGCTACAGGAAACCTATTTTAGCGCATACCTAACACACCCTGTTCCAGGAAAAAAAAAACAGACCAAAATAAATTGTTCTAGTCAGTCTGCCTTTAACCTTTATTAAAGTAATACATTAGCAAATATTTCAGGCCTGTTTACAGTTGTATTTCTATAGTCCATTAGTTTGAGGGTTTTTAATTTTGCCTAAAGTCTATTCACTATGCTAGAATTTTATTTTTGTGGTAATAATTGTGTTTTTCCTATAGGTGAAATGAGAATGTTAAGGTACAACTTTTTTAATCAGTACTTATTTTTACTATTTTCATTTTATAAAAGTGTATGCCTGACGATGGCAACTCTTCCCCAAAAATCGTGACATTTAGAACCTGTCAGATTATTAAGGTCAGTGTTTCGGAAAACTTTTTTGTCAAAGACCTTGAACATAGACATTTTTTGGTGTAAGTGAAGTAGAGAGCTGTATATCATTTGTGTAAATGCATATAGCACAGCAAATATACACTTATCTGACAATATGTCCATTGTAAACTCACTCACATGAATCAGAGCTAGATTAAATTCAGCTAGATCTCACTTATATCACCTGTTGGCCCGTTATGATGGCCTCTTCCCTCAACGGCTAACACGCAATGCTTTTAATAGCGATCTTCTAAATTTGAGATGTCAGAAAAGATGGGCAAATTATTTTTTATAACGTTATACCACTTATCAATAAAAGTATGTTGCAGCAAGCCAGTTAAACTCACAAGAGATGGAGCCCTTATGTATAGCTCTATAAACTCGCAATGTGTGTGTATCAGTCCACACCAAGTCTGTCTCACCATCCAGAATTGTCTCCCGTATATAAGAGAGACTTTGAGTATAACATTCAACTAGCTTTATTAAAATTCAGTAAAACAATCACAGTCATGCTTCACCTTAGACTTGAAGGCTTTCACAGTCTTCCAAAAAAAACAACATATAAAATACCTGCCCTAATATACCCTAAGGTCTCAATATAAAATCCAGCCTTTGTTCCACCATAGGTAATAAGAAGGAATGCACCTCTCCATGTTACACAGCATTCCCCAGCATACACTGTCATGTGGGCGCACTTTCCAGGCATGTTTTTTACTCCCTTTTTGAAGTTGTCTTTTTATTGCGCCCCACCGTGTGTTTTCAGTTTCTAATCACAATTCATTGTATTATCTCTGTGTAACTATATAAATTAATAAACACATTTTAAAAACCCAGGAATGAGAAAGGAATACAAAGAATGTCCTAATAAAAATAGCATTTATAAAATATACCCAAGAGACAATTCTACTTCTGATATCAACTAATAAAATAATTTTTTTTATTGTTCTATGAAGCTTACAAATGTCTGTATCTCTTAAAAATATAAATTTAAATCCTATTTAAAATACTTTGATATATTTTATGTATATTAAAAATAGAACTTAATAAAACAGTTTCCCTATTTTTTTTTTAAAAAATTGTCAAATTTCAGAAACACTATGAAATCCATGTAGATTAAACTTCATAGAATGAATCATGTGATCTCTAATAAATGTTGTTGTGATTGTGGTATGATTATTTTTTTTGTCACATATTTTGTGGTACTGCCCTAAGCTTACAGAGTTTTGGAAAATATACACTCACTTATTAAGAGATTAGAACCTTCTATTTCCATATTTACTTCAGAATTGTCATTATTCAAGAGGTTCCCTGGTAACATCAGCAAGGTTGATAGAATCATTGTAGGGCATAAATTGATAGCTGCCACTTCTATTCTTCCAACACATTGGAAATCTTCAACTATCCCTTTGATAAAGGAAACATTATATACCATCTTGGAGAGTAAACGACACGAATGAGCTATTAGACAACCATCCTCATTTACAGATAGCCTAAAATATTATTGGAATATATAGGAGGAAGTTATTGTTAAAATATTTTTTCTGTAAAATAATAACTGTGAGAAGTAATGACTAATTGTATAGCCATCTTGAGAGATATTATACAACTACACCTTGATATATTTCATTTGATATTACCAAAAGCATTATTGTTTAGTATTAATGCTTATTAGACAATTCAAAAATAACTACATTAATCTGGATGGATATTTCTTTTCCAACACTTCCCCAAATTTTTTCTCTTTCTTTTTCCTTCTTTCCTTTTTTTTTAATATAATTTGATTTTTTTTAAATATTTTGTTCTATTTTGTTCATTATTGTAGTGTAAAATTTTATAAAATGATTCTATAAAATTATTTGAAATAGATTAATCTTACATATCCATTTAATTTCTTCTTTACTGTTTTTTTTTAAATTAAAATTCACACTCTACAGTATTTTTTTTAACTTTTTTAATGCCTATAAAGAAATAACACTTTAGGGTTTCGGTTATGAAGATGTTTAAAAAGAGAAGAAACTATTTTTTTTATATCCTCTATTTATATTTCTTATGAGTTATTCTGTCTGTGTGTGCAATGCTCAAGTAGTTCTATCAATGGAGCATTGATTACATGGACATATACTTAAATAAATGATGTTATTTGTATAACATGAAATAAAATCTTTAATTTTTATTATTGTCTTTTGATTCTTTATATTTATTCACTTTAAAATACTTTTTTGGCTGCCTGCACTTCTAAAGTTCACCTCTCCCCCCCCAAAAAAAAAACCCAACTTTTTCTTTATGTAAAAAAAAAATCTTTCTTCTAATTGACCAACTTTTTACCAACAGTTTTTAAAAAAATATTGCTCACATCCCTATGCGTAATAAAAGGTCTTTCAGGTAAAATACAATGTGGTGGACCGCCTGGTACCCCGACTGCGTACTTCCACCAAACACGCTTCCTAGCTATCGCTGGGACACCATAAGCACTTTCAACTCCAAGCTCCTGCAGCTTGTCTGGGGTCTCGCCGTCTCTTCCTACCCTGGACCAGGGTCCTGGATCCAGCTCCCAGTGGTCAAAGCTCACCTACAGAGAGTATAGCTATATAGTAAATAATTATAGCTGTTATAGCCAGTGGCGTACACACAATCCATGGGGCCCCAGTGCGATCTTGATCCATGGGCCCCCCTCCCTCTTCTGTATTAATGTATAGTTAAATTGTCTATATAAAGCAAGGTTGTCTAGGGGTATATACATCGGCAATAAAAGCATAGCCTTCATATAGGGCTTGCAATACTGACAGTCTGTGTCATTGTCAGGATTACTGTTTGATCCAGCACGTAGAACTGTACAGCACGGATGACAAATAAGTAACGTATTACCGGTCCTTAAAATGGCCGGATTTAACGTACAAAGAATAGTCAAAAATACTAGCCGAGGTCAGGGAACACAGAAAGGGACACAGCGATGAGGAAAGCCAGGAGTCAGGATACCAGAATATAGAGAAGTCAATAAACAAAGCCAAAGTCAAAACCAGGTAGAAAACTATAAACAGGAACGCGCTCTCAGACAACCACAAGGGAAACCACGACAGGGCACTGAGCAGGCTGAGAACTGGGCCTAAATACCCCTCCTTTAGTTCTGATAGGCTGTAACCGGCCTTTGACCCCAAAGTCAGTTACCAGGTTTCATTTGCATAATTGCTGCTCAGCATTAACCCTTCTGTGGATTAGGTTGCTGCTCGGTACAACTTTTCCTGTGTGGACAGTAAATGTCATTAACCACTTTTCTATAAGCGGATGAATACATGACACCAGGTTTCATTTGCACAATTACTGCTCAGCATTAAACCTTCAGTGGATTAGGTTGCTGCTCGGCACAACTTTTCCTGTGTGGACAGTAAATGTCATTAACCACATTTCTATAAGCGGATGAATACGTGTCAGTCATGAGCGTAATGCAGACATGCGGTTAGGTACTTTTCCATTGTTATAATATATTGAAAACACTAAGACTTTGCAAATTTTTAAAATGCATAGTGCTTCCTGTACCTGGTGCCGTGCAAGGATGTAGTTGGGACATATTTCAAATTGAGTATCAAAAGTCTAACCACAAAACTAAATGTTATACGCTTAACAAGAAAACAAGTTTAACCCGTTAGTGCGTACTTTGGATAGCCTCTTTGCATAATTTGGCTCGTAGTGAGATTATTATATTATTTATTAATCCTCTTCTGGATCTACAAAATGCTTTCAATTTACCCATACAAATATAACGCTAGTTGCTCGGCACAACTTTTCCTGTGTGGACAGTAAATGTCATTAACCACTTTTCTATAAGCGGATGAATACATGACACCAGGTTTCATTTGCACAATTACTTCTCAGCATTAAACCTTCAGTGGATTAGGTTGCTGCTCGGCACAACTTTTCCTGTGTGGACAGTAAATGTCATTAACCACATTTCTATAAGCGGATGAATACGTGACATTACCCCCCACCTGAAGAACGCCCACCGGGCGGACAGGACCAGGCTTGAGAGGAAATTTAGCGTGAAAAGCGCGGATCTTACGGCCCGCATGCAGGTCAGGAGCCGAAACCCAAGAACGATCAGCAGGACCGTAACCTTTCCAAACAACCAAGTACTGTAAAGTGCCCCGAGAAAACCTAGAATCCACGATAGAAGATACCTCATACTCTTTCTGACCACCCACCACCACCGGAGGGGGAGGAACACAAGGAACAGTATATCTATTGCAGACAAGAGGTTTGAGTAAGGACACATGAAAAGTGTTGGGAATCCCTAAAGATGCAGGAAGAGCCAGAGAGTAAGACACTGGATTGATCCTACGAAGCACTCTATAGGGACCAAGGAATCTGGGGGCAAACTTCATGCTAGGGACCTTAAGCTTGATGTTGCGAGATGACAACCAAACCCGGTCCCCCACTTGGTACACCGGGTTGGCACTCCTACGCTTATCAGCAAAATGTTTGAAGCGTTCAGCAGCAGCCCCTAGAGCAGTTTGAACCTTAACCCAGGTATCCCGAATGGAGGCCAGACGCTCATCCAGAGCAGGAATGGCAGTATCAGAAAATACAGCAGGGAGAACCGTAGGATGCCTACCATTATTGACAAAAAATGACTGTGCCCAGAGGAGTCATGAACAGCATTGTTTCTAGCGAACTCGGCCCACGGGAGTAGTTCAGACCAATTGTCTTGTGTGCTATTAATAAAACAACGCAAATAAACTTCTAATGACTGGTTAGCCCTCTCAGCTGTACCATTGGTCTGTGGATGGTAGGAGGAGGAGAAGGAGAGATCAATCCCCAATTGTTTACTGAACGCCCTCCAGAACCTGGACACAAACTGAGAGCCCCTATCAGACACAATATTGTGGGGGATGCCATGCAAACGGACAATTTCACGTATGAAAATTAGAACCAAATCTTGCGAAGATGGCAACTTCTTGAGAGGAATGAAGTGAGCTATCTTAGAAAATCGGTCTACAACCATGAGAATAGTAGTGAACCCAGCAGAGCTAGGAAGCTCAACAATAAAGTCCATGGATAAGTGGGACCATGGAATCTCAGGAACAGGAAGAGGCTGCAAAAGGCCACAAGGAAGTGCATGAGTCACCTTGGAAACTGCACACACAGAACATGCCTGCACATACTCCTTTACATCTTTCCTGAGTGAATCCCACCAAAATGATCTAGTGATCGCGGCAGTGGACTTATTGATGCCCGGGTGTCCAGCAGTTATATTGTCATGGAACACTTTCATGATATTAACCCTTTCACATAGGGGAACGAACAGTTTATCACACGGTTTACCACTGGGCGCCTGAGGCTGGGCCTCCAGTATGGTGCCAAGCAGTGGAGAAGACAGTGAGAGGACAGTAGTAGCAATAATACACTCTGGTGGAATAATAGGAGATGTCACCTGTTCCGGAGCTGACTCATTATCAAATTGCCTGGACAAGGCATCAGCCTTGGTATTTTTAGAACCAGGTCTATAAGTAATGAGAAAGTTAAAACGTGAAAGGAACAGTGACCATCTAGCCTGTCTGGAAGACAAACGTTTGGCATCCCCTATATATGCCAGATTTTTGTGGTCGGTTATGATCAACAGGGGGTCCTTGGAACCCTCCAAAAGATGTCGCCACTCCTTGAGGGCAAGAATAATGGCCAACAGTTCTCTATTGCCAATATCGTAGTTGCGCTCAGCAGGAGACATCTTTCTGGAGAAGTAGCCACAAGGATGCAATGGTGTTCCCTGGCTTTCTCTCTGAGAGAGAACAGCCCCTACCCCTGTCTCGGATGCATCAACCTCCAATATAAAAGGTTTACTGGTGTCGGGATGTTTTAGTATGTCCGCAGAGGCAAATCTTTGTTTAAGAGTCTCAAAAGCATTCACAGCCTCTTTGGACCATACCGTGCTACTAACCCCTTTGTGAGTCATATTTGTGATTGGGGCTATTACAGAAGAAAATCCCTTGATGAATCTTCTGTAATAGTTGGCAAAACCAATAAACCTTTGAATGGCTTTTAAACCAGAGGGTAATGGCCAGTGTAGTACAGCCTCTAGTTTTTTAGGATCCATTTGAAATCCCGATGCAGAGATGTTGTAACCCAAAAAGTGGACTTCAGGCTGGTCAAATATGCACTTTTCTAATTTACAATAAAGTTTATTTTTCAACAACGTCTGCAGAACCTGTTTCACATGGGAGTGGTGAGTTTGAAGATCAGGGGAATACACCAAAATATCGTCCAAATAAACCAAGACAAATGAGTAAATGAATTCCCTGAGTACATCATTTATAAAGTCTTGGAATACGGCCGGGGCGTTGCATAACCCAAATGGCATTACCAGATATTCATAGTGTCCACTACGGGTATTAAATGCCGTCTTCCACTCATGATTCTCTTTAATTCTAACCAAATTGTAAGCGCTCCTAAGGTCAAGCTTAGTAAATACTTTAGCTCCCTGAAGTCTATCGAACAATTCGGAAATGAGTGGGA